TCTGTATTAGTTAAATATGATTTCTTCTTGTAATTATAAATATTATAAACTAAAAACTATTAATAGTACATGTATTGCTCATTAAATATGATTAGCTAATGAATATAAATGATAGTGAAATTTGAGGGTCTCGATTTGAAAATATAATGATAAGCTCTACCAAAATCCATCTATACTCTTTTATTAATAATAGCTCTAACCTTAAATCCTAACTTAACCATAAAAAAAAAGCTGACAAAAAAGGCTCTAAAAAATTTAAAAATTATATATAAAATAGATCCAAATTTTGCATTATCTAATTTCATGATCATCCGTGACATAAACATTAAAGTCCAAAAAATTATTTTATTTAACATCTATTGCCAGGCCCAAATCTGTTAAATTATGATCTAAATTAATACAATTCATTAGAGTTAGCACATATTAAACTTAGTTTGTTCTCTGACGGCATCTTGATGCCGTAAAAGAATCAAATGAGTTCGAATAATAAAATTTACATTATCAACAATATCAATATTGAATTATATTATATAACAAATAAAAATATATTAAAAAAGAATTTCTTATAGTACTGTATAATGCATGCTTCGTTTTATGTTTCAAAAGATATGCAAAAAATAATTTGTCACATTTAGAAATAGACAGATATAGATTTTTTTTAGTATAGATATGTATATATAAATTCTTATAAGTTCATAATATATAATTTGAATAATTTAAATTTTAACTTTAACTTTGATTTTAATAGTTTATAAAATTACTTAAATTAGTTCAAAATAGTTAATTTATATATATTATATATATTATATATATTATAAAAATTATATATATTTATTTATACTAAAAATTGATTTTAGGAAAGATATAATTATGTTAACGAAAAACAGAAAACTTTATTTAGAATAATAAATATGTTAATTAGAATACAAATAAATTTTAGTTAATAGTTTAAAAATTAATTATACTTATATAGTAAAACTTTTATATGTATATATTTTAAAACTAAACTTAATAAAAAGTTTCGTGAATCATTATTTTAAATAATAGTAAATCCAATAGATATTTGGATTTACTATTATTTATATATCCAACAAATAACGGTTGTAACGTAGAAATGTAATTTTGAAAAATACAATCCTACCAAAAATACGAACTAATTCTACCAAAATTATGTTTACTAGAGTTACGAATTAATTTTATCAAAATTATTTTTATTAGAGTTACGAATTAAATTCTATCAAAATTATGTTTACCAGAGTTATGAATTAATTCTACCAAAATTATGTTTACTAGAGTTATGAATTATATAAATGCTTTATTTTAATTTGGTTGAAAAGTGTTAACTTAAAGATATTTTATTAGGTTTATATGAAGTTCGTGGTTGGGATATAGTATATTTATTCTGATTTTTAGAGTAGTAATAATATTTATAAGTAGAATTGTCTAAAAATTATGGTGAAATTTTTTTCATGCTAGGGATTTGTTAGATTCAAAAACTTACGATATTGGTGATATTCTATTGTAAACAAAGATTTTTGAAATTATATTATTATTAATTAAATAAAGTTACATATAGTAAATAATAAACTCTGTGAATTAGTTAGTGTTTTGAGTATAATTTTGTATAATGATGTATGCGATTGTGTATATTTTTCCTTTTTATGTGCTATTCATGCAATTCTTTTACTTTAGCTAATTACTATGAAAGCCCACTATATTTATTTGAACCCAGTTTATTCTCAGATGGCCTTTAAATACTGTTGGAGAATAAACTAAAATTTATATACAAAAAGTAATTTCGTAGAAAAACATTTTGAATAAGAAAATATATTGAAATGATCATGCCAATACTTGTTTTTTCTTGTATTTTAAGCAATTATGAGGTCTTTAAAGATGAATAACAATGCTTAAATCATTCATTTGAATTTTTTATATTTGGTCTTTTTAACTGTCTTCAAATTATGGGTTACAGCAGTAACTATATTCTGAAATAATATTAGATTAATTTTAATAGTAAATCACATAATAATAAATACACAAAATAGTTTGAAGAATAATACCTGTACTAATAATAATGCATATGCTAATTCATATACATTTTCCTAAGCAGTTTGTTTCACAGATATGTCTGCTTCAACGATTGGAAAGTAAAAATAAATATTATTCTTTCTTTGAAGTCCGTATATTTTCATGTGCTTGCCTAGACAAAAAAAAAGTTTATAGTATCAATTGAAAAAAAACAACAATACTTAGCTTATCAGTTATATTAATCTCCAAAATCGTAAGAAAAAACAAATATCTTTGTTGTCTTTCAATTATTTTTGGGTTGTAACCACTTTTACATAAGCAAATCAATTTAGTATGATCTGATAAAACCTTTTTTCAGTAGTTTCACATCTCCCACTTTCAATATAAAGTAACTCTAGGGCTTTTTCACTAATTTTAAATGTAAACATGATGTCAGGTCGATCTCCAATTGCTGAAGTTTTTGAAAGTTTCTCTCGGACTGTTTTTTATTCCAATCCATACTCAATTTCCAAATATTATTTCTAAAAAAAGAATTATGTTTATAGTTATTTTACTCTTATATAGATAATGTTGATAATACATACAAATACTTGACAATACATTGAGAACATTTCTTTTGTGACTCTAAAGTTTCTACCCAATGACATAAGGAAGCTATGGAACTTTCAGAAATAATCCATTTAAGATTGGTGTTGTTTTGAGATTCTTAAATAGCTTTTTTATACTCTTTCACCAAATCTTCTTCCAATTCCAATTTCTTTGAAAACACACCCTATATATAATTGATATAATTAATTTTCATATCTATATATTAACTAAAAATTTACTTACTTTGGCAAAATTAACAGTGTTATCTTTGGCAAAATTAACCATAGTATCTTTGAATTTACTTGGCTACTTGGAGGTGATATCTATAACTTCTATATTTAATGAATCATAATCATTATCATCAAACTTTAAAACTAATTCATCCAAGGTATTATAAATGTCTTGATAAGCATCATATTCTTCATCAGAATATTTTCCACGAAGAATTCAGTTTTAATTTAAAACCACATACATTATTCAAAAACCTCATTAAAAAATAATAATCTTAGGTTAAAATACTTTCCACACTCTGCTTTAAGTTCAAGATATTTGTTGTAATATCCTGTATTTTTTCTTTTTTATGAGAAATAACAAGCATCTTATTTGCATGCAATGAATTCACCATTGAAGCTACACTTTTAATCTAAAAAAATAATAAATTATTAGATTCAATTTAAAGTAATAAATAGATTATTCTTAGCAATTGATCTATACAAATCAGAATAAATTTGTATGCACTTTTAACTTCCGGGAATATTGATCATTTAAAAACAAGGACAGCCCACTTTGGAAATATAAACACGCAAGTTCACCGACTATAACAAGGATAACACTACTTCAAGATTTGAAAAATAAAAATACTGTATATTCCTACTGAATTGCGGTTGTTATAGCAAAGTACTTGCGATTATAAATACATTCTTACTGAACTGTGGTTGTTTAAGATATTTTATAACTCATCATTTATATAAAATAATATTCGGAAATGTATTAAAGTATACTTACGATTTCAGGTGGTATTTCTTTAAGAAGTAATAGCTTTTCTTTCCTTTGTTTTTCAAGTAATTCATCTTTCAATGCGTATTCAATTGTGTCATAAAATATCTTAACTTTCTTTTATTCTTCACTAGTCCACAGTTTTAACT